ATCAATGTTGCCATTTACCAATAAATGAAGAACAGATAAAAGCAGTGTCAAGAGCCATGTTACTGTTAGCCAATCAGAGGCGAGATGGTCCTGGTGTAGACTCCAAATCCTGATGTCCTCCAATCCTCCGGGCAACTTCTACCCCCCGAAACAGAAGCGCCAGAGCTTTTTTCCAAAGAAATTTTCTTTAAAAACATTTATTCACATTAGAGACCATTACTGCTAATATTACTGTTGTTGTTATTATTATTGTTATTATTATTATTATTATTATTGTTGTTGTTGTTATTGTTATTATTATTATTATTACTGGAACAAATATAGGACTCCTTTTAGAGATAAGAGTAGCTTGAAGAGGGCCGCGACTTTGACTCAGCTAGACACAACCATTATGCAGAAGCATGCTTTGTTTGGAGAGGAAGAAAGATCTTATTAAATGTTTTTACTATTGACTACGTTTGAATGTTTGTCCGTTTCCATAATCTGCTCTGACTCGTTAGCTCAAGTGACCTGATTTGGCTTCAGTAACTGATTGATCATTTGACTAAGATGGGAACTTGTAAACAACCTTTTTGGGGGCAGAAATTTCCATTACTGCTTAAAAGTGGCCAAATAATCAATTAATAATATCAGGAAGGCTTTATATTAAATGTGTTCCTGCATTATTGTAACAGAAACATGCATGGGTCGTATACAACCAAAAGGATGATGAGTCAGCATCGGCGGACTGGTGTGATCAGCGAGAAAACTGTGTTTGGCTGTCTTGGAAGCTTTTTTGCGTTGGCTGATGCTACGCTGTGGTTACACTGGAACGTTGCACCAAATTCATCAGTTCTGGCATTTTAAAGGTGTTGGAGCAATCAAGCGGGGCTTGTGGGTTAAGATGATGCAAATTCATGTGTGTTGGTCAGAAATTCCCCCCTGCTTGAGTTTATGCAGCGGCCCGATCGGCTATCTTTTGGAATAAAAAGGCGGTAAAGCTAGAAACACGAGATCTCCCGTGTGCTTTCTCATGCCTCTCCGTGTGAAGTCGGAACACAGTCGGGACGCGGTAACACGCTTCACTTGAGAAAGCTTAAAGCAGGTACTATGAACACGAGGCTTTTTTCAGACTCTGATCCAAAACCAACAGAGCGGGTCAAAAATGCAGAATAACACCCGACAGTGTATGACATCTCAACTGGGACTCGTGTGCACAGATTCACTAACGCTGAGACTGAAAGAAAACAATTTTGCTTCAAAGCAAACCTGATCTTTTTGTGTCAGGGATACTCAAATTCATCTCCGCTGGGGTAAGCCTGAGCCTGCTGGTGGTGAGAGCTGCTGCTCAGTACAAATAAATCATTGCTTTCATCCCTTAAAGCATTGTGAACCTAAATGAATGCTCATTGGTTGTGAAATTTATCTTATTTCAGCAGGCGGTGAGGGGACTCGGCAGAATGATGCCACAGCCTACACCAGATTTTTCACAGTCATGTTAAAAATGGCAATCTAGCGGTCTTTGTTCCTCTTTCTGTGATCTTACTAAAGGTTTAAAAAATCCCTCTGCTTGTTATTACCTAGTTCTGCTGGATTTATCCGGTCTGCTGGGTGTCCATTGTATGTTTGACATGCATGATTAAGAGACTAACATTTCCTGAGTTACCTCCTGCTACTGGACGAGTTCATTCCCCTGATGGATGACCTCTTCCTCTGTACTGTCGCCAGACCGAGGATTAGGTTATCCCTTGGCCCTATGCTAGTCCTCTTATGTGCCATCAACAATCATAATTGGAAATGTCATAGCTAATTGGGCAGACACTGACCTTTGTAACAAGTGTGTGTTGAAGTAAAGGTCTGCTATCACACGCAAATGGAACTTACTGCTACGAAGCTTCCTGTAACACCATAGGAATTGGAACACAGCCTAAATGCAGGTACACGCTTTGAAATCTGAGCTCATGCTAGTAGTAAGTTTGGGACTAAACCTTTTGGATTAGAAACTGGATTAAAGGGTTTAAAGGCCTTCCGTACCACAGGTTTAAACCGAAACCCTATGAATGAAATACAGTAGTTCTGGTTTAAAGTTTAATTAAAGAGCTAGTAACCCCCTCCCAGAGTATTACTGCACTCCCACTTCCTGTTTGAAAAATGCAACAAATGCTGTTGCCTAGCAGACAGAGAGGGCAGCATCGCTAACACACACACACACACACACACACACACACACACTACATGACTAGACGTGTCTGCAGCACGATTACACACACATTTATATTTATATAGTTTATCAGAAAAAAAGTTGATTTGGGGGTGACTTGCTCTTTAAACAAAATATGTGTTACTACTTAGAGTAGGGGTGTAAGAAAATAACGACGCACTGAAATATTCTGATATTTCATGTATTTGTACCAAGTAGATACTTTAGAGCAGTATATGGATTTCTTCACTGAGGATATATACTTGGAAACATCTACTGTATTTATTTTGTGTGGTGGTGCAATTCAAGCTCAGGCTGCTAGGTGGCAGCAGTTCTTATCTTTCAACTTCCTTCCAGAACAACGAGATCTCACAAAAACACTGCATGTGCCTTGGGAGCTTCTGGCCTGAGATTTCTATAGCCGGAGATTTAGCTTTTATTATCGCATTAGATCGTATTGTCTTCCCTGTGTTGTGGTACACATCACTGGCCACTTTATTGGGTATGCCTGTCCAATTGCTCGTTAACGCAAGTTACTACTCAGCCAATCACATGGTGGCAACTTGATGCACTTGGGCACGTTGACACGTTCAAGACAATCTGCTGCAGTTCAAACCGAGCTTCAGAATGGGGAAGAAAGGTGATTTAAGTGACTGAATGTGGCATGGGTTTTGGTACCTAGAGCTGTAGCGAAGCATCGATGACGTCGACGGCTCGATTCTAAAAATTCGTCGACGTCAGATCCGGTAGTCGACGCAGCACGCCCACTTGTTGCATCCCCAGGAGTTTGTGAATAGAGGAGGAATCTGCCTGTTTTTCCTCTAGTTCGCCCTCTTCTCCGCCTTCACTAACATCTCCACCAAATACCGAACAATGTCCGTCCACTACTAGATTCCTTTCCTGTTCTGCCCTCCTTCGTCTCCCGGCAACGGACAACAACTTCCGGGGTCAGATGCGCTGCTCCGTCTCTACCGCAGATGTAGGACATCACCGGGAGCGTTTCTCCCTTCATTAAGGAGCTTCTTTCAGACATTAGGAGAGCTGTTTTGGTGGTAGCAGTCTCTCCTCCGTGCTGGTCTGTTTGCTGCCGGGTGTTTTTGGTTTATTTAAACTTGGTAACTTGAACTTAACGTTGGTAAAGCTACTGTTAGCATCTTCGCTAACAGCTTCTTGGATAAGCTGTTACGTTTTGGTTTAGAGTTCATCTTTTTTGTGGTGTAGATCTCCCTTTTATTTCATTTAGAGTGTCGTGGGTTTTCGGTTTAGTTTAAAATATCACCTTGAGTTTGGTTTAACCGCCCAGTTTAGAGTTTGGACCTTTGGAGATCCTTATTTTGGTCCAGAACCCTGTAATCTTTGCCCAGTGGGACATCCCTACTTATTTGTACTTTTGTTTTAATTCCCCACAGGCAGGATTAGTTTTATTATTCCCAACCTGTGGATGGAAAGATTTATGTTTTTTGTAGTTGTAAATAAACCTGATCATCATTTTAACTTTTAAATCCCGTTCTTGTCCCTTCCTTTTTGCACACGAGCCAAACTCCCCAGGAAGGGTCGTAACACCACTCGCCTCACGCTCATAAGTGACCAAAACAAAGCAGCATGGAGACACTCCGTCTCCAACCACCTCTCAGGCAGCAGCCTGCACTCCCACGTTCCACACGTCACCAGAACATAACCAACCAACACAATAAAAGCAGTGGTTTTTGTTGTGCAATAGAAAAATAATCGCTAGATTAATCTTCTAAATAGTCATTAGAATAGTCGACTATTCAATAAAATAATCATCAGAATAATCATTTTAAAAATAATCCTTTGCCCCCAGCCCTATTGGCACCAGCCGGGCTGGTCTGAGTATTTCAGAAACTGCTGATCTTCTGGGATTATCACGCACAACCATCTTAGGGTTTACAGAGATTGGTTCAAAATAGGGAAAACATCCAGTGAGCGGCAGTTCTGTGGGCGAAAAGGCCTTGTTGATGCCAGAGGTCAGAGGAGAATGGCCAATAACTCAAATAGCCTCTCGTTACAACCCAGAAGCATCTCTGAACGCATGAAAAACGTTGAATCTTGAGGCAGATGGGCTACAGCAGCAGAAGACCACACTGGTGCCACTCCTGTTAGCTAAGAACAGGAAACTGAGGGTCCAATTTGCACAGGTTCACCCAAATTGTACTATAGAAGATTGGGAAAATGTTGCCTGGTCTGATGAGTCTTGATTTCTACTGCAACATTCGAATGGTAGGGTCAGAATTTGACAATGACATGAAAGCATGGCTCCATCCTGCCTTGTATCAACGGTCAGGTTGGTGGTGGTGGTGTAATGGTTTGAGGGACATTCTCTTGACACACTTTGAGCCCCTTAGTACTAATTGGTTATCGTTGCAACGCCACAGATGACCAGAGTATTGTTGCTGACCGGGTCCATCTCTTTATGACCACAGCGTAGTAGATAAGTGATGATGGAACAAAACTCAAAACTAAATTTAAAGCTCTTACAGCGAAATCTGCAAACAAGCTAGGTTTTAAAAGCAAACACGGTCACGGAACACTCACCCTTCCCTTCGGGTATCTTCCCCTGATCCGTGTCAACCAGAACTGCAAAGCCACATTGCCAGAATATACAAGATAGCGCTAAACACCAGTCACCGTTTCCTAGGTCCAAATGTCTTGTTATCAGTGACTTCAAATGGTGTTTTTCGTTTTGGGACTCTGGTAGTTTGTCCTAAAGTTAAAGTGGTAGCAGCAGGCTGTTTCTGCTTCTCTGATATCACTGAGAGGAGAACCTCTCACACCAGTGGTGTTCTGTAGCTAAATATGTGACTGTGTAATGAGTGGAGCACCCAGGGAAGTGCGGCGAGACCGACAACTGGATGATCCAATTGTTGCTTTTGGTCTGAAATGTTATTAGCTGCAGTTTTTAGACAAATGTGAGAGAACCACTTCATTAATACTTCTTAAAATATATTTAAAGCTATACTATGTTAAAACATTGTAAAAAGGCATGAAAAAATGTTTATAGCCAATTTGTTTTCCAAATTAGCTAAAAACTGTGTATCATTCATCCATTCACACACACACATTCACACACTGATGGTGATGGTGTCAAACAAGTCGTGGTAGAAAATCACATCCTTTTTTTAAGCTATCTTTAGCATTGCAGCACAGCTAGCCACTACAGTAAGTTAGCAAATAAGCATTTTGAAACTCCCGTGAGCCTTTGCTTGAAGAGTAAATGACTTGTGAAATTGTTTGTGATTGATTTCTTTGTCATTTGTGTTACCTAATCCAGTCCAACTTTAGCTCAGTGGCTGCAACAATTGTTAGCTACGGTGGCCATCTTGAACTAGTTTAGCCAACCAGTAATTCCTGAAACTCATCCAGTGGTTAATGATAAATGACCCGCACTTGTACAGCACCTCTCAGAGTAAGGACTCCAAAGCACTTTACACTACAGTGTATCATTCATCCATTCACACACACATTCACACACTGGTGGTGATGAGCTACTACTATCAACCAGTTGAGCTACTGCTGCCCTAATGAGATATGTTGTTAAATACAAGCACACAATACAACAATAACAATGCACTAAAATGAAAAATACCCGTCTCAAAATCGTTTTGACCCTTTTCACCAAATTTCCCAAACAGCTCATAAACCAGTGCTCATTTGTGGTAACTCCATCCATCTATTTTAGGTCTTTTGTCTATTTAACTGAAGTAGAAACCCACACAAAAACATAGCACAGTCACTCTTTTCTTCACACAAACATTTAACTCTAAACATAAATCGAAAGTCCAAAATTTGCTTTTGCACGAACATAAACAGCAAATAAAGTCTTGTAACGATCAAACGTTTGAGGGAGCTTGATTTGCTCATCCTAATTTAGTAACAATAAAAGCAGAATCAGACTCATTTTACTGTTAAACACAACAGATTTGGTTTTGCAAGCCTTAACATTTCCATTGCCACTTGCTGTGGGCAGAAAGTACCTACTACTAGTCACTATCCCGATCCCAGACGTGGCGTTGTACAAATAACACGTTTATGGACCTTCAGTTGGAAGCGGTCATGCAGCTTTTTGTATTTGAGTCATGCTGAGGACTTCAACAACAGACATACTTGCAGAAAGTTGCTCCTCTCCTACTGTCTCATGTAATCTTTCATAAAACCAAGAGTTTGCCAACCACATGATTCTTCTTAGCGTGTCTGAAAAGCATCTGCTGAAGGATTAGCTCAATGCAGCAGAGGGTATTTGAGTCCACTCAAACAGACAGATGCATTTCTCTCCAGATCTTCAAATTCCAAGCACAAGTGTACACAACCCATCAAGATGCCAATCAAATCATCAATCATATTGATCCAGCTGATCCATCTTGCCTGACAGGGCGTTTCTGGATGGGTAGGTCGTAATGTTGGGTTCATGCTGTCCACACTGTGGAATTGATTCTGTGCACCCACAGTTCACGTCTCCCTGGTTAATGGGTGATTAAGCCGGCGCAGGAGACCACATGACTGATGAGGCTGCAGGACTGAATTCCCAACTACAGTGGGAAGTGCCTGGAAGGCCAATCTATCGAAGCGCTAAAGGAATCTTCAAAACATGCTACCTACCATCCCTAATACTGCGTTATTTTTTCATATGACCTTTTAGAAATGGAGTTTTTACGAAGTCTGGAAGCAGTTTATGCAAACTTTATCTATAAACCGCTGTGAGAAACAATACAGTGCTTCACTTGTAGCAAGGAGTTTAAGTTTCTGTATAAAAATAACCACTTCATGTAAAATTCACTGTGAACAGATAACATCCATAAAAACCAATATTAACCTCTTCATTGGCAGGTCAACGTGGGAGAATATACTTTAGATTCTGTATCTAAATGAAATATGTGCTAAACCTCCCTGAAAAATCTATTAAACTGAACATTTTATTAAAATTATGAGGCTGTTTGAAGAAAAAGTTAAGCAATATTGCATTCTATCATTTCCTTAATTATTACAGTATTTGTTTTATTAAAATTCAGCTTTCTTTCAAAGAAATACAGTACAGCTCCAAATGTATATAACAATCTCAAGAAAGAAAATCTTTTATTGCTTAATTTTGGGTGTAGAAATTAAAGATTACATTTGCAACACTGGACGTTTGTTTTGAAAAGGAAGCTACAGTTTGAAAAAGAACCGTTGTTTAATGCCCTTTACACCAATAATAATGTTGCATTAGTCAATCTTGTTCTGTAGAAATATTAAGTGAGTTTATTTATGAGCAGCAGTACAGTTTGCTTATGCAAAAAATAATAAAAGTACAACAATTAAAATATTATAATAATCATAAACATAAATCAATAAGTACTATAATATGGACATGCATGCATACTAATTAAATAAGTTGCTAATAATTAAGAACTTCCTGCTGGAAGTGACTCAGATGAGCAGGAAGTGCAACATTTTGCCTCTGACTCTGTAACGCAAATTTAATGATTTGATTTTATGTTTATAAAGAAGAGGTTTGAAGAGCTGTTATGAAAATTCGCTCCTAGCTTTGCACAAACTAGAAGTTATCTCATCAATCCTGTTGGATGTAAACACTTTCTTCAATCAGAGGCTGTTCAGTGAGGTTAGGTTCAACGTTAACGCACTAGCTCTATGCTTTTGGTTAGTTAGATACTCGGATGTTACGTGAACTTAAGATTCAGCACTTTTGTGTCACAAATCAAACGATTCAACTCTTGAGTCACCTACAAAACTGCAACCACGTCATTTTACTTGCAATGAGACGTATGAGATGGACGTTTACTGGCCTACTCAGGGGAATTGATTCACTTCAAAGCTGTGCGTCCAACTTGAGAACACACTAAACTTAATTTTAGTTTTGCAGATAGCAGCTAAGAACGTGAAGGAACATGCTATGCTAGGATGTCCTGTGTGTGGGTTGTTTTCATACACACCAAAACAGACAGGAATTGTGTTTCAAACAGGACCATAAACGCAGGTATACGTTTTTAAATCTCCCCACTTTGATGTTAAAAAGTAGCAAATGAACCCTTGAACCCTCGGACTAATCTCCCTCCAGAAGTCCGCGGGGGTCTGGCTCCCTCCAATAACCCAAAGACACGGCCCGAAACAAGCTGGAAATGAGTGTGTTGAGCCAGCTGAAGAGCTTCACACACACCGCAATCCTCCTAACTCCCTGATATTTGCTGGAAGATTTTTGGCAGAACCAATAATGAACTTCAAAGTAACCATCAACGTAATATTCACAACAGCCAGTAAATTGAGAGGATATGAAGCGGTTGGAGTCGGAGCGTTCCACAGGTCAGAAGCAGCAGATGAAGCAGATAACTTGGTGTCCAGCATGAGAAAAGGCAGCTTTGCACTGCATGGGAGCCACGTGGAGCTCTGCTGGTCTCTGGAGGTCCGCTTGTTTTTGTTCAGTTTCTACTTTTCAGAAGATAAGTCCAGTTTGGCCCAAAGCCATGTTTGAGAACGTCCTCCAGAACTCGGAGAATTATATTTAGTTGTTTCAAATTTAAAAAGGTTTTTAAAATGATTGCTTTTGTGTGTGTTTAATGGTAAATGGTAAATGGCCTGTATTTGATATAGCGCCTTCTAGAGTCCTGGAACCCCCCAAGGCGCTTTACAACACAATCAGTCATTCACCCATTCACACACACATTCACACACTGGTGGGGATGAGCTACGATGTAGCCACAGCTGCCCTGGGGCGCACTGACAGAGGCGAGGCTGCCGAGCACTGGCGCCACCGGTCCCTCCGACCACCACCAGCAGGCAACGTGGGTTAAGTGTCTTGCCCAAGGGCACAACGACAGCGACAGACTGAGCAGGGCTCGAACCTGCAACCTTCCGATTACGAGGCGAGCACTTAACTCCTGTGCCACCGTCGCCCCGTTTAGTGCAATGAAGGTTTTCTTATTGGTATCAGAACCTGGTTCTATTGTAGAGAAATGGTATTTTCATGATTATTGTTGAAATGATGTTGATTGTTTCTCGGCTGTCTTTGTCTCTTAGTCATTACTGATTTTTGTTCTGCATTAATTCTCTTTGTAATTTAGTGTGTTTTTCTAAATGATGTTTTAGAAAATAAAACACAATTTCAGTCACGGTTCCCATTATAATTGATACAATATTCCTAAATCTCCTTTCTTTACTTGAATGTGATTAATATTTGAGGTCTGCTTTGAATTACAAAAGATATTTCTTTTTTTTTGGGGGGGGGAAGGGTGTTTTTCAGAAAATAAAATAAAAGCCTCTTATGCAGGCGACGTTGTCCCTCAGTCAGTTTGTGGGTTTAATTTGATGCCGTGAACACCAAATTAGTCAAGTGAAACAGCACATATATAAAAGGTTTATTCTTTCTATAATCCCCAGAAAAACAAAATAAAACATTTCAGAAAAGATGTGCCAATAAATGCACGTCTGTGTTAAGTCAGATCACTCTACTGATAACGTTCACTTGTGCTCTTCACCCGCTGAACCGTTTGAAAAGAAGGTCACTGTGCAAAAGGACCCAACTGACTCATTTGCATATTGTGTCCTTTCTTTTTCAGTAACCAGACCCTTCTGATTTATGGTGGCCTTATAAAAAGCACGGTCGTCAGAGACAGAAGCAGGTCTGACAGATGCAAGTGCGTTTTAGGATTTACGACGAACACCGCTTTAGAATGCTTTGCTGCCGGTAAATTATAGCTGTCTGATCGCGCTGTTTTTAATTTCCATAAAGGATAACCCATTTAGATGGGCAGCAGTCATTTTTAAAATGTATACTTTGAAATAACTCCACAATATTATTGGGTTCTGCTGATTTATCTTTCTTTATTTATATTAAAAAAAAACCTGGTTAAGATCAGTCCTTTTCCAATAAGTCCCCTCTTTTTGTCCAGCTTTCTTAAAGGAAAAAGTAATTCTGAATTAAGTCGTGTAGCTAAAGTGATACAACAAAGAAATGCACATGAAGTCCAGCAAACTTCCCAGACAGAACAACAAGCCCAGGTTCATCCAAGCTGTTTTCAAATGAGTCATTTTTACCGATATGCAACCACATGATCGCGGTGCCTCGACAACATTACGGTTACGGCCAATTTCCGGTCTCTCAAAGTTATTTTTACAACCTAAATGGAAGCAAGCTAGACAATCTGCCTTGAAGGGGGAATAACTCTGAAATGAAAAGAAAAAGGAAAGGTGGAGGCTTCTCATCAGGAATGGAAAATGTCTTCATTTTGCCGTTCTGCAAGTGATTTTAGAGTCCCTGCACCAAGATTTAACATCTTCACATTGCAGCAGGTTGATGTCGAAACCCTCAGCATGACATGTTTTTTGGGGCTTTGTTTATGCAATAAGAAGTGAGCGGTGCTCAATCTTGCAGGCCTTGGAGCAGCACACTAAAATAATCACCTGCACTCAAGTGGCAAGTTCAAATGCCTGCAGACTGGAGATGACGTTGTTAAATAATTGCTGCCACTTCAAAGTCATTTGAGGTTGGACTATAAAAAGCAGTTTTACCATTTCCTGCTGAAGAAATGCCAGATGTTGGTTGGTTTGAGAGGTTTTTTCCGTCAAGACAGAAAGACTTTCCAGATAGAGAAAAGTAATGTACAACTCAGCATTAGCAAGGAACTAGCATTAGCATGAAAAGTGTGCTAGGTAGGAGGTGTTGGAACATGCAGTGGTAGAAATGATTCCAAGATGGCTGCCGATGGCTGGACTGGTTTGTTTGGTTCAATGCCTTCTCTGGCTTTTGACATTTTCTTTCACTTTCTGCTGACTACAGTGAGAGCTACTCAACAGAGATTCCCTGAAGTAAAACATTGCCTGGACTTAAACCAAGTTTTGAATAACAGGAACAGGAAAAATGGTTATGTTGGGACATTGCTTCTCTGCCTGTGGCTTCTGATTGTTCCACCTGTTCAGAGCCTCAGCCTCAGTCTGGAAATGGATCAACCATCAACTACTGCACAAGGTAACTCTCTGAATGACATTCCAAGGCTGAAGTTTTTTGGACATGGATATTTAGCAACGTATTCCATCTTCTGGCAAAAAGAACACTACAATGAGAAAGGAAGCAGACCAATTAAGCAAAACAAATGGCATGCTTACAATACTACACTGCTGCTGCTAAGTGGGGATATACAGCTCAATCCAGGACCACTGGAAAGTTCTAGCTCTGAACAAATGGCAAAACTGGACGTTGCGGAGACACTTATTCAAAGTGATTGTTGCAGTGGGATGGAACCAACAAACATCTTCCATGTGGAGTCATCAATCTGTGCCGGCCCTGCCACCATCAGGCTACCTGCTACCGTTAGCAGCAGTAGTAGCCCAGTTACCACCAAGCAAGGCCTAGACTTCAGCTGTACTGTTTCTAGCTGCCCAACCTCAGCTGCCATTAAGCAAGGCCCTCGCTCCAGCTGTACCAGTTCAGCTACCACCAAGCGATGCCCAGGCTTCAACTACAGCAGCACAGCTACTACCAAGCCAGGCTCCAGCTGTACCAGCCCCAGGTCCACTACCCCAGCTGCCATCAGGCAAGGCCCATACTCCAGCCGCATTACTACCATCAAGCAACGCTCAGGCTTCAGCTGCAGCGGCACAGCTGCTACCAAGCCAGGCTCCATCTGTACCAGCACTAGCTCCAGCTCCAGCTCCACTACCCCAGCTGCCATCAGGCAAGGCCCATACTCCAGCTGCACCACATCGGCTACCACCAAGCGATGCCCAGGCTCCAACTACAGCAGCACAGCTACTACCAAGCCAGGCTCCAGCTGTACCAGCCCCAGGTCCACTACCCCAGCTGCCATCAGGCAAGGCCCATACTCCAGCCGCATTACTACCATCAAGCAACGCTCAGGCTTCAGCTGCAGCGGCACAGCTGCTACCAAGCCAGGCTCCATCTGTACCAGCACTAGCTCCACTACCTCAGCTGCCATCAGGCAAGGCCCATACTTCACCTGTCCTAGCTCAGCTTCCACCGAGCGACAGCCGGACTCCAGTTGCAGCAGCGCAGCTGCCATCAGGCTGGGCTTCAGCTGTGCCGGCTCTGGCTGCTGTGTCCCAGCTGCCTTCGGGCAAGGCCCACACTCCAACTAGGACGGCTGTTCTGCCGGGCAGCGCTCGGCCGGCTGATCTGGGTGCAGCGAACTCTGCTCTCCCTCCCTGTGCGCACTACAGTCCAGGTAGGCATGGGACAGTCAAGAGCTTTCGTAGAATAGGGGCAGGTGCCATTCAACAAAGAGTCGGGGGACTAAATCCAGCAATTATAAAACTGCGTAAAACCAACCTTTTCCAAATGGTGAACAACGCTAAAGTTTTATGGGACCCTCGATCAAAACCCAGTGGACTACTGGGAGGTCACTTAAATATCTGTAGTTTGAGTTCTAAAAGTGATGAGATTAAACATGTACTTATGGACTCTAACTTGGACTTCCTATGTTTATCAGAAACTTGGTTCAATAAAAACTCCCCATCTGCAGCCCGACTTATTCCTGGCTATAATGTTTTTAGGAAAGATAGAAAGACTGGTAAAGGTGGGGGGTTACTGTTTTATATCAAAGACCATATATTGTGTAAAGAGGTTCATTGCTCAGTTAATGAGCTTGAGCATATCTGCCTTAATATTAGTTTGTCACCACAAATGTCCTTTTTTGTCATTGGAGTGTATAGACCACCGTCTGCTAAAGAAACTTTCTTTGACAAATTAGAAACTGTTCTAAAGGAATGTAGCTCAGGGAAGGAAATGTTGGTAATGGGGGACTTCAATGTAAATTGGGAGGATGAAGGCACCAGCAAAGCACTACGAAGGGTAACAAATACATTTGATTTTACTCAACTAATTAAAGGGCCCACCAGAATAACATTGTCTTTAAAACTCTAATTGATTTGATATTCACTAACAAGCCTGAAAGGGGGACAACATCATTTAACATGGTTACTGGTCTGTCTGACCGTAACCTTACTCTTATAGCAAGGAAGCCTCACACTAAATCTTGCTACTTTAGAATACCCAAATGTGATGTTGATAAATTTGATAAGGAAATCAAAAATATTAACTGGGATCAAATCATATCTGGTGTAGATGTGGATAGTGATACAAATGTCCTTATGTCCACAATCCAAAACATAACAAAGCGATTCCTTAAGAAAAGCAAACCTAAAGGGAATAATAGGTGTACACTCCCCTGGATCTCTAGTGACATAAGGAGATTAATGAAAGAACGGGACAATGCCTTAAAACTCTATCTTAAGACCACCCTATTGACTGATAGGCACATATTTGTGTCCTTGAGAAACAACGTAATTAGGGAAATCAGGGTTGCTAAATCTAACTTCTTTGTTGACCTCATACGTTTGGAATTGTCTGCATAAATTAATGGGGAAAGGACACAGCAAAGCAACAAAGCAGTTGGAGATCAAAGACAAAAATACTCTATATAAGGAACCAGCTAAAATAGCGGCTATTCTCAAAAACCATTTAATTAAATCTGTTAGACAAACTGTGATTAGTCCCATAAGTGGTCCACTCGACTATTTACCAATTGACATAGCACAGACAGTATTTGTCCTGACTGAATTGTCTGAATTTAAGGTTAAATGTATAATTACGTCTATCAAAAACTCCAAATCAAAAGATATATTTGGACTGGACTCCATGTTTTTAAAGGCCCAATGTGTGATATTTCATCTTATAAGTTATCAAATTTCTTGTATCACATTCTCAAATTTGTTTTTTTTAATGATAATTCAAACAAGCATTTATTCTAAGCATTATTATTAGCTTTATATTTTAATATTTTAGACAAAAGAAGCAGACCGGTGCTCCATATGGCATGCGCCATCTTAAAATACAGTGACCTTTTAGGGACATACAACATATTAAGCTTCGCATTTGATGTTTGCGTTTTTAAATGATGTAACCTCAAAGAAACAGCAGGGGGCAGAAGTGCGCCTTGAAAGCATGCAGTCTGACAAAGTAACTAAGAAGAAGAAGAAACTAGCCACACCGTACTTCTAGCGATGGAGGATCACACATATTCTACAAGCAAACTTGAGAAACGGGATAGTTTGAAAGCGCTTGAAAGCGCCGATCTTCTAGACTTTATTGCAGCTCTGCCTCTTCCTCTTGTGCGTGGGACGTTGCGGCTGGTTTGAGCAAATTCGGCTCCTTCATCTTGGGATGCTTGCCCTGCTTCTGTCGCATGTCTAACACCTCTGCCTCTCTGCGCTGGCACACGTCTGTCCTCTCCCTCTTCCTCTCCCTCGTCCTCTGTCTGTCTCCACTGATGAACCATCGGATGATATCTGACTCTGTTTACGGAGAGAAAACAATTACAGACTACACTACGTTGTATATTTCCAAAATGGCAAATAGAAATATAACATTTCTCAAATAAAATGAACAAAATATTGTCATTTTTTGTAGTCAGAAGTCATCATTAACTAGCTGCCGTTTGCTATTAGCAAACATAACTGACATAAAAAAGTTTTTCTTATTCAAAACCTATTTAGATTAAATTAATAAAATAAGTTAGATGAAAACAACTAACCTGTTCGCTGACTTGAAAGCTGGAATTAGATGATGACATGCTGCCGTTTACAGCAACACGATTTTGTATTGTATTTGTTATATTTGTTAATAAAGTTTTAAATAATGATTAAAAAAAACCCTTTTTGATCCTCGGGGGCTCCAATAGCTGCAATACCGACTCTAAACTGCGTGGTGCTAAAGAGTCGGATCTTTTTACTATGATTTCTGTGAATTTCACACACGGGGCCTTTAAAGAAACATGCTGCCTCCCTTGCAGGGCCTATACTATAACTAAAATCATAAACACCTCTGTTGTTGTACCAGTCTACAAATCAGGAGACGCAACTGACACGAATAACTATAGGCCGATTAGTATTTTGCCCATTATGTCTAAAATCTCTGAAAAATGTGTAGCTGAGCAATTGACTGAGCATCTTAACAGTACACCTTCTAAACTGCATCCTATGCAGTGGCTTTAGAGCAAATCACTCCACAGAGACAGCTAACTGTTTCTTTGTGGAAAACATGAAGTCTAAATTGGACAAAGGAGGTATAGTTGGAGCCATCTTTTTAGACGTGAAAAGAGCTTTTGACACTGTCAGTCATGACATACTCATCCAGAAGTTGTCTTGTTTTAACTTCTCAACCACTGTTATAGACTGGATGATATCTTACTTAGCAAACAGAGCTCAGTGTGTGAGAGTTAATGGTGCAACATCACCACCATTAAGGAAAGAGCTGGGTGTACCCCAGGGATCTGTCCTGGGCCCTATTCTGTTCAGCATCTGCATAAATGACCTGCCACCAGTGTGCACTGGATGTGAGGTGCAGATGTATGCTGATGACACAGTCATATATGTTAATGCAAAAGCTAAAGCCCAAGCTGCTGCTAAGCTCAGTGATACTATGGTACATGTACATAAATGGCTCACTTGCTCACAGCTGTATGTATGTATGTATGTATTGTTGTATCTCAATGTAAAAAAGACAGTTTGCATGTTTTTTAGCAAAAGAAACATTTCATCCAACTGTGAACCCACTGTGTGTGTGTCTGGGGAGGTCATTCAAACAGTTACATGGTTTAAATTTCTAGGCATTATTACTGACAATACGTTATCATTTAAACATCAAGTGAGAAAGGTAGCGCAAATTACCAAATATAATCTGGCAAACTTTAGGGATATAAGACACTGCTTGACAACACCTGCAGCTATGCTATACATGAACACTATGATAGTCCCTCATCTAACATATTGTATTACAAGCTGGACCCAGGTGTGTGGTACATTTAGACCTATCCCATCTCTTCACAAGCAGGCACTTAAAGTCTTAGACAAAAAATCCAACCTCTACCATCACTGTAGTGTGCTTACCAAATATAATCTACTTAGTTGGGAAAATATTTTAAAACACTGTGATGCATGTTTAATCTTTAAGATTATCAATGGGAAGGCTCCCCCACCACTTTGTACTTTTATTCAGCAGAAGCTATCAAGCAGCAGAACCACAAGGTCTGCACTAAGAGGGCACTGTGTAGTTCCTCATAGGTCTAGTACTTTTGGACAGTTATGCTTTTCTGTGAGAGCCTCTAAACTGTGGAATCAGACACCATTGGACATTAGAAACTTCACATCGTACATTTAAACTCCGTTTTCAGAACTGGCTTAAGCACACAAAAATGTGAACACCTTTCATAATCATTGTATGTTTGTTTTTAGACTTTATTTATTTTGTAACCTATAGTATTTATGATAGATACTGCAAATTTGAGTCGTATGGGTATATGAATTATTTATTTCTTTTTTCTATTTTGTTTTTATTTTGTGTGTTATTTTTTAATGAAATTGAATGTAATGGTATTATGATTTATTGTTGTATATTAATTAGTTACTATGCTCATTTAATCTGTTTTTTTTTTTTTTGTTCTTTCTTTCTTCTCCTTAACCATCGTGCTGAGTATAACATCTTGCCACTGGACTACAGTTGAAAATTAGCCTGCTGGCTAACACTGGCACATTTACAGAAATGTTCATTAATGTGCACGGTCCTTAGAAATGAAATGAAATGAAAATCTCATCCTTAATTTTAAGCTAGCTTTAGCATTGCAGCACTGCTAGCCGCTACAGGACATTAGCAGATTAGCATTTTGAAACTCGCATGAGCCTTTGCTGGAGGAGTAAATGACTCATGAATTGTTTGTGATGTTGATTTCTTTGTCATTTTGCTGCCTGTTTATACAGGTTATTATGAAGAGTAAGTAATTTAGTTTCTGTATTTGTGTTACCTAATCTCCACCTAATCATTTGTCCAATTTGTTCAAGTTCCTGAGGTGATGAGTGACAGTCTGTCAGTGTCCAGAGTTTCAGTTAGTCTGTAAAAACCTAAAGTCTGTATTTCCCACCGTTTGAAGATTAGAAAATATTTTGTGCTGATGTCGGCCTGGTAAACCAACCTACATATGTGAATATATTTTCTGGCCACGACCCACTGAAACAACCCAGTTATGGGGCGGGATCTACTGTTGTCTTTCAAACTGTCTCTGCACACAATTGGACAGCGCTAGGACCAATCAGAGCAATGATCAATGTGATGCATTCATCACTGTTAATGTCAGTCAGCGAGGCAGTCCGCTATACACTGTTAAAGAAGACACAAATACAGCCTTTAATCCCTCCTGCTGCTCATGCTCATGTCAGAACAGCCCAAGTCTAAATTGTCCCTAAATTGATGCCAAAGCACAAGCACCATTCCATCGCCATCTTTGTAGTTTTTCTCTATGGTAGCTTTTGGTGCAAAGCCTGCCCGTAAACATTGATCAGGCCAGTGCTAGACCTTGCTAGGTGGAGCGTGGCTAGACTGACCTGCAGAGCAAAAGGTTTTTTGCCACTGCTACAATTTGTCTCAATTTTCAGGCCATGCTAATGTTGTTTAGCATCAGCGCTAAAT